GCCTCGGCCTCCCAGAGAGCTAGGATTAGAGGCGTGAGCCACTGCGCCCGGCCCAGCCTGGTTTTTTAATTGTAAATAATGTATTCTTTTAGCTTAAGAATGTAAATGCAAAATAAGAAGGTATATCTCCCATTTAAAGGAGAACTTTTAGGATCAATATACCCTGTCATATTAAGCAATTTACATCAGAATGCTAACAGTGCCCTTGGAAGAAGGCCTTGTGTTTTTAACATATGATGATACTGTAGTCAGTTATCATTTCTGTCTAAATATTAGTCCTTCTTTAAACCTACCTCAAGTCCTATCCCTGTAAAGGCTTCTGCACCTGCTCCAGGTGTATCATGCTCTCTACTTCTTCTATAATTTATTTCAGCAAACATCTATTGAATATCTTTGGGTGCAAGACAATGAGCCAGGTACTCTGGGAAGAAGACACAACTGGCCTTTGAAGAGCTTACTGCTCAGCGGAGGAGAGAAAAACATACAGTTAAGTATATTACATAGCAAACGAAATGAATGCTCCAGGTGCTCACCAGAGGGTTGATTCTAGGGGCAGGGGAAGCAGGGGACCCGGGAAGTCTTCAAGAGGCAGACTGTGAGAACAGGATAGGTGGAGGCTTGGCAGTGGGACTGTGAAGGCTGAATTCAGGGTAAATAATGTCTAGTGTGTTTGCAGTTTAGGGTGTGTGCCAGGGATACGGAAGAAGATCATGTTGGAAAACTAATCTGGGGTCATGGGTGGAGGGCCTTAAATGCTAGTTTGGACTTTATCCTGTTTGCAGTAGAATGTCATTAAAAGCTTTCTTTTTAAAAAGTAGCTGTAATTATTTTCTAATTATCAAATTAATAATGATTTTCCAATTCTGTTTCCAAAATATAAAAAGAACACATCACATGTTAGAGAGCCACTCTTTTTTTTTCAGGCTATTATGAGGGTACAAACATTTTGGTTATGTTTTATGTCTTTGCCTTACTGAAGCGAGGATTACAGGCATGCCCTTCCCCTCTACAATGCTCACCTTGACCATTAGTTGTGAGTTTACCCCCCACTTAGAGAGACACTCTTAATACTCTTTGGTTTTTGCTGCGAGCAGTTTTTGTCTACACATCCACAGACACATACACAGCCATCTCTACCACCCCGCACGGATGGGATTGGACCACATGTTGCTTCACAGCCCAGCCTCCTTCACTGGCTGCTGCAGCCAAGCCTGGCGTGGCAAATGGACAGAAGAGGGGGCCCTGGGAAGGTGATGGCAGCGTCCCTGTGGCAGATAGTGGAGGTCATCAAGCTAGGCCAGTGGGATGGGTGCCAAAGGTATCTCAGAAGCAGAATTCGAATTGCCTTGTTGTCATTTTCAAAGTCACATTCCCTTTGTTGTGATTTTCATTTCAACAGCTTCTCTCTCTCCTTTCCCCCTCTCTCCGTGTGTGTGTGTGTATGTGTGTGTGTGTGTGTGTGTGTGTATATATATATATATATATATAAAATATTTTTTTCACTTTTTCTGGGCCAATTGCTGGATCCCTTGAAAAATCATTTCCGTAATCTCAGGTAGTGGAGCCTCAATCAATCTTGCACTTTTGTTACTGCCCCTCTCTCCAAGGAGAGGAGGGAGAAGATGCCCCTATTAAAGATCATTATTGATTTATGTGGTTTAACTCATTTTGACTATGATCAATAAGAATAGATAAGATTAAATACTGATTGAACAGGAATTGCTGCTACAGGCAAAGTTTATTGACGGTGCTTAATAGGCTTCAGGCCCTGAGCTATACAAAGAAACTCGCCCAAGGTCACAGTTAATAATTGGCTGAGCCCAAACTCGAACCCCAGGCCACCTGCCTGTGCTCGGTTACCATGCAAGGTTAGATCACCAATTGCTCAATGTTCTGAATGTTTCATAAAGTAGGGAAAAATTCTTCACAAAAAATCTAACTTAAACCTTTGTGCTTGTGCATCTGAACATGCTGTGCTTTAATATTTTAAGTGACAAGTGCATAGTCTGAGCAAACGTTAGAGTAAGGGTGCCAATGACATCCAGTTCCCCAGGCTGCTTTTTAATTGTGGTGCCCTACTGCCAGTGAAGGCACTGAATCAATTCTTCCAATGACCCAGCA